GCGGAAGATGTGTCCTTCCCACTGAGCATTCCGTGCGTGGGCGTTTGGGGCCTCCCGAGCCGGAAACAGTGGGTCAGAGCGTCAGTGCTGGCGGGTGCACACCACCGTCTGAGGGCTGGACACTGGGGTTTCTGCTGGCTGTCTAAGCCTCTCCGATGACGGAGCATTGAAATCCGGAGCAGCTGTCTGTGGCTGCCCCCTGAGGGTCTCCAGAACTCTGAGGGTCAGGTTGATCCCATTCTAGGAGGAGCTAGACACACGGACAGCAGTGACTCACCCAGACGTCCTCCAAAGCAGGGGGGTGGCCACAGACAAGCAGAGGAAGGAGCATCCTCAGCGCCTCCAGCAGGGCCCAGCCCACACCAGGGCTCTGGTCAACCTGAGGTTGCGACGGTTTCACCAGGCCTCGCCTTGGCCTCGCAACCCGAGACTCCCACGCTCTCCCTCTGGTTTCTGTTCATCAAGGAGCCTTTGAGTGGGCTCCGTGCGACCTTGATAATAGAGTATCTAGATCAGAGGAGGTTCTTCCTCAGTCCCGTCCTGGTGTGGTTTTCACCTCATCCCGTGACCCAGACACCTGGGGGCACGTGCGCTGTCAGGTTCCAGCGCCCATGAGGCCCAGACTCTGGACCCTGTAAACCCAACTGAGATTCTTTGTGAAAGATGCTGCCTGAGACTACTTTTGTGGTCTCCTTAATTCTCTGTTCAGGGTTCAGCTGGGGCCAGGGGCCCCCTGACAGGTTGGGAGGTGTTGGAGGGGCCTGCTGCCTGGGTCTGAGCGACAGGGATGTCCTCAGGCTCGTCGGGAATAATCAGAGCACAAGCATTACCATGCTTCCGTCTAGGCTGCAGCATCGCCGACTGGGTGAGTGACAGTTGATGAAACCAAAGGTTGAAATACCACAGGGGTAATGGCTCTTGGTAACCGCTCGTGGTTGCCTAGAGAAAGCCGAGCTGGGAATCCAGGTGTAGATTCCCCGGTCACAGGCACACCACAGAGCCCTTCCCCAACGCACAGAAGTGCGTGTGCCTTGAGATGCAATCCCCGTGAGTCATAAGGTGCCCTGCTCCAATGTGGCTCTGGCTGGGCCGCTGGGGGCACTCTGGGGCCGTGGTGAAGCAGTTGGGGTTGTAGGTCAAGATTGAGAGCTTTTGTGGTTGCAAAGGGGCAAGACAGTCCTGCTGCTTCCTCGATGCCGGCTTGGCAGAAGGAAACTTTCCACCCTGGAGACACGACCTGGACCGCCCTGTGGTGGAGGGACTGAGGTCTCTCAAGAGACTCAGCTTTTATGCAGTTCGTTCACCCACCCAGATCCAGGATCCATCCACACTGACTGCATCTGTGCTGTGTGTGGGTCCTTATTGCTGGGCATTGAGTCAGGTTGACATGGAGTGAAAGTGGGGAGAGACAGGCCGTTGAAGAAGGGCTGATGGGAGGGCTGTGAGTTCAGAGGAGCTCCAGGAAGGCTCGGTGGAGGATGTGACATTGGACCAGGCATGGAAGGGGGACGGGATGTGAAAATGGGGACAAAGTCATTTTGGACTGAAAGACCAGCATAAATAAAACCCTGGAGTGGACCGTCCCACGTGCTTAGGACAGAATTGATTAAGGATGTGCAATTCCTGTGGAGAGAGGCTGAGCTACAAATGCTGGTCGTGTGCTGAGTGGGGACGTACGTAGTCTGTCTGACTGTGTCTCTGTGTCAGGAGCTGGCCCGGGGGTGCCTGGTGACCTTGGCAGCCGCCACAGGCAGCAGCCCTCCAGGAGAATTGCTGTGCGCTCGCTCTCCAGCCGGTTTTGCCTCTGCCTCTCTGGGGCATCCACTTAGGGCACTGAGGGTTAATGATTTTCAAACGCGTGTCCACTTAAGATAAATGAGCCAAAGGGCTATTAAATACATTAGCGTGATATTTACCATACGCATGTTGCCACTTCCCTGAAACAGTTCCAGTGATCAATAGGAACAGTATTTATGTAGCATCTACTGTGTGATGGATACAACAGGGGAGGCAAAATATGTCAAGTGACCTAGTCTAGATGCTCCAGGCACTTTGAATACGTCGGCTCATTTAAAGCCACCCTGTAGGCTGATGGTTCTATCTTCATTTTACATAGATTTGAACCCAGGGCAGTCTGCCTCCACTGTATAGGAACCCAACACCGGAACTCAAGTAACGAGTGAGCAGCACCAGGGGAGGTATGAACACCTTGCTCGGCAGTTCAGAGGAGGGCGAATCCTTCTCCTGGTGGAAAGCGTTAGGGAAAGGTGGCACTGGAGATGTGTCCTACCCCGTGTGGACTTGAACATGGGACAGGGAGCCTGTGAACAGGGAAGCTTTAGGTTGAAGGAAGCTACTGGGCACAGGTGTGAAGGCAGGAAAGCAGGGGGTATGCTCTGGAATGGTGAGAAGCGTCGAGAAATAGCTGGATAAACAAGGCTGGAAAAGCAGGTGGCTCCAAGCTTGACTGCCAGGGTTAGGCAACAATGGGGAGCAACCGATGGTTCAGTGGCGGAGGAGTGACGTGATGGAAGTCAAGCTGTGGGAAGTGAAGGTGGCATCAGTGGGCAGGATGGAGGATGGAGGGCTGAAGAGCCCTTGGTTCTGAAACTCCAATCTGAGCTGTGTCACAGCATTTACTGTGTGGAATAACCAGGGGTGTGTGCCTGCTCGTTGGACACATCAGCATTCGGCAAGGAGCCAGGAGCATAGTTTGTAGAAAAGCTTATTGGAGGGAAGAGTGAACTTTTAATACAGCATTCAGTTAGTTGTCCAGCAGCGACACTGCAAAGAACCCCAAAGGAGTGGGCAAATGTCCATGGAATCATAATTGAACTCTGAATGCCAAGCAAGTTATTTAACTGAGTACTTCGTGAATAGCTTTTGTTAGGGTGCTAAGTGGGAACAAAAGCAAAACCAATACCAATCTTGCCATCAAAATTGGAGAGGCAAGCTATGAAACAATCAGGCAACACAGTCCCTTCTCCAGCATTGATGTAGCCCCTATGTCTGACCTTCCTTCCTCCTTCCCTCCTCCCCTCCCCTCCTCCTTCCTTCCATTCCCTTCCTCTTTCCTTCCTTCTACCCCTCCATTCCTTTCTTCCTTTCAATGAATTAAAAATTACGGCTCTAGCTTGTTTGGCTCAGTGGATAGAGCAGCGGCCAACGGATTGAAGGGTCCTGGGTTCGATTCCTGTCAACGGTACATGCCTGGGTGGCATGCTCAATCCCACTAGGGGGTGTGCAGGGGCAGCCAATCAATGATTCTGTCTCTATCTCTCTCTCCCTCTCCCTTCCTCTCTGAAGTCAATAAAAATATATTTTTTTAAAATTACATAAAACAGTGCCTGGTAAATGCCAAAGGCTTTGAGACCCCTCTCTAATAGGTTTTCTTTTAGGACTTCCAGAATTCATTACTAGGGTGACATTCTCAGAATGTCCACAAGAAGGCAGTATTGAAACTAACCCCTTACTAGGGTACTGTCCTCAGAATGTCCACCAGAGGGCGCTATTGCGACTGACCACTTACTAGTCAGTTGTCCTAATAATGTCCACAAGAGGGCACTATTGTAGCTAATCCCTTCCTAGGGTGCTGTCCTCAGAATGTCCCTCTCTTACTAAGTTGCTGTTCTCAGAATGTTCACAAGAGGGCACTATTGCTACACCTCCCTGCAGGGCGAGAGCCCTCAGGTCTATCAATTGGGTTTTCAAAAGGACAGAAGGTTGGAATCGCATGCAGGGGCCACCCATATTGGTTTGTTCCAGCTGTTTCCCAGTGCTTAGCTCCTTGCCCACACATGGGTGGTGCTCAAAAAAAGAATGAATGAGTGAATGAATTTGTAGATTAATCAAATTCTACAAAGATAGAACCTGAGAATATTAGAATTAATAGAGGCCCAGTGCATGAAATTCGTGCATGGGGGGGGGTGGTGGTGGTGGTGAGGGGAACCTCAGCCCAACCTGCACCCTCTCCAATCCAGGACCCCTTGGGGGATGTCTGACTGCCAGTTTAGGCCCGATCCCGGGGACTGGGCCTAAACCGGCAGTAGGGCATCCCTCTCACAATCCTGGACCACTGCCTCCTAATCGCTCACCTCCCTGCCTGCCTGGTCACCCCTAACTGCCCCCCCTGCCGGCTTGATTGCCTCTCACTGCCCTCTCCCTGCTGGCCTGGTCACTCCTAACTGCCCCCCCACCGGCCTGGTCACTCCTCACTGCCCCTCGTGCCAGCGTAATTGCCCCCAACTGCCACCCCCGCCGACCTGGTCACCCCCCACCCCATCGC